CTGCCCTCAGTCCTAGAGGTAACCATTCTTCTGACTTTAATTATAACTTTCCTTGCTTTACTTTTATACCTATGTATACATCTCTAAACAAAATAGTTTAAATTGTTTTTGAAATTCACAGAAATGATACCATTCCATGTGTATTGTGTCATGCTTCTTCTTTCGCCATGTGAGAATCATCTGTGTTGCCTGAAGCTGTCATTCATTTTTGTTTTGTATAAAACCATAATTCACCTTTTTTCATTCTCTTTTTTTTCTAGATAGATTTTTAGGCTGTTTCTTCAAAGTTTGCAGCAAATTACCTGTTTTTGCTATAGCAGAATAGTGCAATTTTGCCATTTTAATTCTGGTAACAAAAAAGCATCTTATATCAATACACGTTGGGCATCCAAATCCAGAAATCTGAAATGCTCCAAAGTCCACAACTTAAAAAAAGTTTGAAAAATTAAATTAAATTAAATTAAATTAAATTAAATTAAATTAAATTAAATTGTTTTGTAGAGATGAGGGCTTGCTATGTTGCCTAGGCTAGTCTCGAACTCTTGGCTTCACACGATCCTCGTGCTTCAGTTGCCCCAAATATTGGGACTACAGGTGTGAGCCACGTGCCCAGCCAGAATTTTTTGAGTGCTGACATGGACTAAGGAAATGTTCACTGGAGCATTTTGGATTTCAAATTTTTGGATTTAGAGTGTTCAGTAGGATAAGTGTAATGCAAATATTTCAAACTACAAGAAAATCTGAAATCTATATTACTTCTCGTCCCAAGCATTTAGGAAAAGGGATATTCAACCTGTATGTTCTTTATAATATATACAGTACGTTCATGTATATTAGCGAATTTAATCCTCATTTCAGACCTGTGAAATGGCAATGCAGTATTTCATTTTATTACTAAGAAAACTGCGGGTAAGCCTGGGCAACATAGTGAGACCCTGTTTCTACAAAAAATTAAAAAGTTAGCCAAATGTGGTGGCATGTACCTGTAGTCCCAGCTACGTGGGAGGCTGAGGTGGGAGGATCATATGAACCTGAGAGGTTAGGCTGCAGTGAGTCAGGATTGCTCCACTGCACTGCAGCCTGCGCAACAGAGCTGAAACTCTGTCTCAAAAAAAGAAAGAAAGAGAGAAAGAGAAGAGAGGGAGAGAGGGAAAGAAGGAGGGAGGGAACAGAGTGATACAGTTTGTCATTTGCCTGAAATAACAATTCTAAAAACTTAATGAAGTGCTATAATTGTCACAGATCTTTTATTTCAAAGTCCAAATTCTGAATTTTTGATTCAGTTTCACACAACTGAGCATTCTTAATTCCTGAACTCAGTTAGAATATTTTAGATTTAAAAAAAAAAAAAACCAAACCAAACCAAAACAAAAACAACTTAGTTATCTGACATGCCCCACTGCCAGGTTTTTCACATCAAAATATTATTATTTTTCTTTGAAAGTTGATCTAGAAAGCATTTTTATTAAATTGCGGGTAGGATGTTGGAATATAACTTCATTAAGTTGTCAGCAGCAAAACTTCATGCAGGTAGGAAGCTGGTATCTGCAGCATTTGATTTAGGTGGTAAAAAGGAGGAGGAGGGGAACTGATAGTGGATAATATTTTGAGTACAGAATACGATTGCACTTTTCTCCTCATGTCAGTCTCATTTGTAAGCAAATTCAAGGAAGCTCACTAGCTAAGTGGCCTTGGATAAGCTGTTTAATGACCAAGTTCCATGATGTTCTCTTTAGAAGTCCCTTCCCTTTCTAAAATCGTGTAGCTTATGAGTATATGAGGTGATTAAAATACTCTCTTGTGCTGTAGACCAGTCTGACCCCTTAGTTACGTGTGGAATGTGCTGAGCTGTATTTAAAGCCAAGTTTATATGTTGATGTTATTGTAAAGTGACTCTCCTTTTGTTATCTAAAGATTGCAAAAAGTATAGGTTTTTAAAATGGTCATGTTTTAAGCAGCTTTCAGCTCAAGAAGTGAAAGTAACTATTAGTATAGTTATTATCAGTGGCAGTGTGTTGAAGTTTTTTGTGAAGAATTCAATACTTCCTTGAAGGTGTTTATATGTAAACATGTTTTAAGTACATATACTTTAGAAAACCATTCTAGGCCTAGGCGCGGTGGCTTACGCCTGTAATCCCAGCACTTTGGGAGGCCGAGGTGGGTGGATCACGAGGTCAGGACATCGAGACCATCCTGGCTAACACGGTGAAACCCTTTCTCTACTAAAAATACAAAAAAATTAGCCGAGCATGGTGGTGGGCGCCTGTATACCCAGCTACTCGGGAGGTTGAGGCAGGAGAATGGCGTGAACCCAGGAGGCAGAGCTTGCAGTGAGCTGAGATCGCGCCACTGCACTCCAGCATGGGCGACACAGAGACTCTTGTCTCAAAAAAAAAAAAAAGTTCTAAAAAGGAAATTTATTTAGAAAACAAGATGTATTGATATCACATTCCAAAGCATGTTTGAAACATTTTAAGATCCATATATTTACTTAAATAAAAATCCATGGAATTGCAAACATCTTCTTGGTTTGAAAATATATTTTAGCAGATCTGTCAGCTAAGTGGAAATACGTAGCAGCAGAAGTTATTGTACTTTAGGCCAGGTGAGGTGGCTCACGTCTATAATCCCAGCACTTTGGGAGGCTGAGGTGTGAGCTCAGCAGTTTGAGCTCAGCCTGGGCAACACAGTGAGACCCTATCTCAAAAAATATTTTTTTAAAAAACTTCACAAAGGCTTCTTAATGGGCAAGATTTTTGATCCAGGTTGAAATTAAACTTGTTAAATAGCAGCACTGAAATAATGTTCATGAGACTGTGTATTTAAGCCTTTTCTCTTATATTCCTGCTAAGAAGATTGGCTGGAGGAAATAAGTGATACTATTCTTTGAGCTTATAAAACTTCACAGTATTTACCCGATTCATTGGCCAAAGACTGCCACTTCCTTGGTTTAGAGTTTGGGTGAGATAAGGAATGTTCATCTCTGCTTAAATAAGCATTCCAGGTTCTGGATTTTAATTAATGGCAAAAATGTAAACTTTTCTTTCTTTTCATATTCGTTGGACACATGCTTAAATCTTATCGTGTCATTTTCCTGTATGTTAGAGGACTTGTCCTCTGGACTGTAGAATCAGGGTCCTGAATTCATGCCTTGTTATACTACCCAGATTTGTGACACTGAGGATGTGTGCATTAACTTCACATTACATCTTCATCTCTACAGCTACAAAAATTACTGTCACTTCTGTCTTTCCAGGTTTAGAGTCATGGCTTTGGAAAAAGCAAAAGGGAGAATTTAATTTCACTTAATGTTCAGGACTCTGTGATCCTATAATGTGGTTGTTACTGATCTGTAGTTGGCAAAGCTTGTAACATGTATGAGGTCTCTTTCCAGAATTTACAAATAAGTGATTTATATTTCGCCATTGGGGACAAAAATGTTAACACCTCTTTGAACACAGTCAAATTGATACATCTTTAGTCTTTGATCTTTTCATTTCAAGGAAGGCTCTTTTTCTTCATTCTATACTCTGCTTTTTAAACTTTATATCCATTTTTCTTGCAAACATTATCTACACTTGTTGACTCTGCTGCTTTCGTTTCACTCATTTAACCTCCTGTAATCTGATTTCTACCCACACCACTTTACTGAAACTGCTGTTGCCACGGCCACACTGTGTTTGCTGCACAGTCTAAGGAATAGTCCTCAGTCTTTACTATCTCAGTGGCAGTGAATACTGCCACCCATTTTTTCCTTGAAACAGGCTCCAGTGACACCACATTTAACGGATTTTCCTCTTCTAATTCTGATAACACCCAAACCTCCTTTGTAGACCTCTCTTTTTTTACCTATGATGTAAATGCTGTTCTTACTCAGAGGACTCTGTTGAGCACACTCTGTTTGTCATGACACTGTTTTCCCTAGAGATCATTCATTGCTTTAGTCATAATCTGATGATTGCAGAACTTCTCCTTGGCTTCAGATCTGTGTATTAGATTGTCTGTTGGACATCTTCACTTGACTATTGTAGTAGTCTGCAAGTGATACAAATCCACTTCATCATAACTTCAGGCTAAAGAGGGAGATATGTTGGCTTACAAAACCAAACGTCTGGTGCACAGGTGAAACTGATCTTAGGAGGGATGCCTAGAATCAGAGATTCATGTCATCTTGACTTCCCACTTCTCTTTTGCCTCTGCCTGTCAGCATTATTATCTCAAAACCGTCTTCCACATGAGGTGTAGGATATTATTGACTAAGGACATCCTTAAAGTCAACAGCTTGGCAGTCAGAAGGAAACAATAGGTTTAACTCTTAGTTCAACTGCAGATAGAAAATTGCCTGACAAGGATTCTAATAGACTCAGCTTGGTTTGCCATGGTGGGATATAAAGTATTTTGACTAACTTGTGTTCTAGTAATGATGGTGGGAGTGGTAGGGATCTAATAGCTTGATTCACAGAAGAAAGCCTAACTTAACCTCTACCCATTTTTCATGTACAGCTCTAATTCCAGTGGATAAGGTGATAATTTTGTTTATGGTTTTTGATGAACTGCATCTGCTTGATTATCTCCTTAGAATTCATTGCTATGTCAATTACTGTCTGAGTTGTCTGTGAGAATAAAGGACTCAACTGAAGAAACCTATATGAAAATGGTGATCATTATTTATTCTTGGAATTAGAAACTTGTATGTGGCAGTCATAATGTTCTAATTAGTGATTTTAAAAAATTAACTCATTAAAATAATCCATACTTTTATAATCATAAAATAGGATGCCCCACAAAGGCGAAGATTTCTGTCTACTTTCACTACTACACCTAGAACTTGACACTAAAAAAGTTGCTCAAAAAATAATTTGGTGAATGAATATCAGTTTATTAAAATCTTGATTTTTTTTTCAGTGTTTACTTTTTTGGGTAATACTTATTTTAACAATAAAAGCTTTCAAAGATAAATAAAGTTTAACTTTTTTTTACTTTTTCTTTTTTTTCCCTAGACTCTCTGTTATAGTCCCTGGGTCAAGACAACAATTTTTATACCTTCGTCGTGGTTCAGAAAGGAGTCTCTGTAGAACCAGAAGCAAAGAAAGGAAACAATCCGAGTTTTTCTTTATTAAATTGACTGTGTAAGATACTTGACTTCCAGGAACAAAAACACAGTGAAATAATAAAATTTCATCTTGGCATCACTGGACATTGATCGTATTGAGGAGTGTATTTTGTGGAACTTCCTGAGTTGAGATTTGGAACCTTCATTGGTGCTCATTTATACTGTGGACTGTAAGCATGAGTGAATTCTGGTTGTGTTTCAACTGCTGTATTGCAGAACAGCCTCAGCCTGTAAGTATGAAGTATGTGGACACATCAGGTGGGGTGCTTATTAAACGTACCACTCGTTCTCAAACTGAGAATTGGGATCCTAGCAGTAATTGCAAAGCAGTTCTAGAGAATACCATAGAGAAATAGTTCAGTGGAACTCTGAACATATGTTTAAAAAGAAATAATGTTTTTAAAGTAAATGCTATATGTCAAGAGCTCTGCTAGACCATTCATCGTACATGACTGAAAGGATGTGTTCTTCTGTCAAATAGCTCCTGGAGGAATAGTGAGAGAGAAAGGAGACAATAACCTGAGGTAAAACAGGTAAATCAGCCTTGGAAGTCAGTGGGTGGAAGATGTGGCAGCCATAATGCCATCATATTCTTCTCAGCTTACCATCTCATTTTCCTCAGGGCAACCCTCTGAGGAAGATATCATTGTCCTTATTTTTCAGTTGAAACAGGTTCAGTTTATTGCCCAAAGTCATATCGCTTATAAGTGGTCTTGACTGACTTCTTGGTATATGCCTTGTTTTTGTCCTCTAATATATGCACATATCGTTACCTCTACCAAAATCCTGCCCTTCAGCCTCCAAATTCTTTTTGTTTTATTAAGATAGAGTTTCACTCTTGTTGCCCAGGCTGGAGTGCAATGGCGTGATCTTGGCTCACTGCAACTTCTGCCTCCCGGGTTCAAGTGATTCTTCTGCCTCAGCCTCTTGAGTAGCTGGGATTACAGGCATGTGCCACCACGCCTGGCTAATTTTGTACTTTTAATAGAGACGGGGTTTCACCATGTTAGTCAGGCTGGTCTCGAGCTCCTGACCTCAGGTGATCCACCTGCCTCTGCCTCCCAAAGTGCTGGGATTACAGGCGTGAGCCACTGTGCCTGGCCTGCTTTTCATTTTTTAAGGTACCTAAATCAAATGTTACCTATATAAAAAATTCCCCAGCTTTCCCCTGAATGAGATAATACTCATCTGTATTCCCACAGCTCTTTAATTCATTGTTCTTTTATAGCATGGAACCTTTTGCATAGTAAATAACTGTTCTGCGGTCTCTCCCACCACATTTTGAATTATTTATGGGTCTTCACCATGTAAACTCCGTATCTTCAGGATCAAATATAATGTCTTGGAGAGTGTAGGTATACATGATTGATGGTTGGCTGGCTGAACGAGTGAATTGATATTTTGTTTTATTTATGTATGTAACAACGTAAGAGGAAAAATAAGGGTTAAATTTTAAAACTATAATTGTACACATAACTCCCAATCTCAGGTGATTCACCTGCCTCAGCCTCCCAAAGTGCTGAGATTACAGGCATGAACCACTGTGCCCTACCATATTGTTTTAATTGCTCTACTTACTTAGTATGTTTTGCTGTGTCGTAGGGGAAATTTTTTCTTAGCTCTTCTTTTCTAACTCTATTGGTGATGTCCTTTTTTAAAGCTGGATTGTGGTTCCATGTTTTCTTACTATAGTTTTCTTTATTTTTTTTCTTGTTTGAGATATTTCATAATGCATGTTTAAATCTTAGAGGTTTTTTTTTTTAGGATTGCATTGGATTTATTTTATTTATTTATTTTTTTGAGGTGGAGTCTCACTCTGTTGCCCAGGCTGGAGTGCAGTGACGTGATCTCGGCTCACTGTAACCTCCGCCTCCTGGGTTCAAGTGATTCTCCTGCCTCAGCCTCCCAAGTAGCTGGGATTACAGGCACCTGTCACCACACCCAACTGATTTTTGTATTTTTCATAGAGACAGGGTTTTACCACATTGGCCAGGCTAGTTTTGAACTCCTGACTTCAGGTTATCTGCCCACCTCAACCTCCCGAAGTGTTGGGGATTACAGGCATGAGCCACCGCACCTGGCTAGGATTGCATTGAATTTAGAGGCGAATTGGGTGAGAATTGACATCTTTAGAATTTTGAGTGATCCAGGCTGGGTGCAGTGGTTTACTCTTGTAATCCCAGCACTTTGGGAGGCCGAGACTGGCGGATCACCTGAGGTCAGGAGTTCAAGACCAGCCTGGTCAACATGTTGAAACCCTATCTCTACTAAAAATACAAAAAATTAGCTGGGCATGGTGGCAGGCACCTGTAATCCCAGCTACTCAGGAGGCTGAGGCAGGAGAATCACTTGAACCCAGGAGGTGGAGGTTGCAGTGAGCCGAGATTGCGTCATTGCACTCCAGCCTGGGCAACAAGAGCGAAATTCCATCTCAAAAAAAAAAAAAAAGAATTTTGAGTAATCCAGTTAGAAGCATGGCATATGTCTTCATTTATGTAGATCTTTTAATATTCTTTTTGTAAAGCTCTAAAACTTCATTACATAAGCTTGCACATTTCATGTTAGACTTGTTCTAGATATGGCTTTTACTGTATTTCCTAGCTAGTTATTACTAGTGTATAGGAACCTAATAATTCTTATATGCTACTTTTTTATCCAGATATCTCACTGAACACTTGTGAACACTTGGATTTATTTATTTACTCATTTATTTATTTTTTGTTTTTGTTTTTTTGAGACAGAGTCCCACTCTGTCGCCCAGGCTAGAGGCACGATCTCAGCTCGCTGCAATCTCTGCCTCCCAGGTTCAAGAGATTCTCTTTCTTAACTCAGCCTCCTCAGTAGCTGGGATTACAGGTGCGTGCCACCATGCCTGGCTGATTTTTTTGTGTTTTTATTACAGACAGGGTTTCGCCATGTTGGCCAGGCTGGTCTCGAACTCCTGGCCTCAGGTGATCGGCCTCGGCCTCCCAAAGTGCTGGGATTACAGGTGTGAGCCACTACACCAGGCCGAATTAGTTTAATAGTTAGCTGAAATGCTTATCTCTTATAGATGTCTCCAAATAGTGACTTTTTAAATCATTTTCTGATATTTAAATCATTTATCCTTTTGGGATTTTAGCTGAATTGACTAAGACCTCTAGTATAATGGTCAGTATTGCCAGTGATGGCTGAACATCCTTCTTATCCTGAGTTTTTATAATCTGTGATATTATTAGAGATGACATTTTCATTAGTCAAGGATTCTCAGTAGGAACACTTGAGTCCTATTGCCATATTGTTTTAAGGATGCCCTGTAATTTTTTGTTGAATGTGGTATAGTGGGTAAAAGGAACCAAGGTAAATAGGCCCGTAGTGTGATGTTTTATGTTTATCTGGTTAGGGCCTAGGCCATTTTACTATTTGCTGTAGCTGTAGGTGTTGGAGGATAAAATTTCATCTGGTGTCCTTGTTTTTGTCCCCTTGTTGTCTTTGGGTTTCTCTAGAGACTTCTTCTTAAATAAGAGCTGAGACATACTGTTGCTTTATTGGTAATCCCCTGTTGTACAGGAGCCCTGTAGATGTGTTGGTAAGGTGTGGGGAAGGGAGACATTATGTATTGCTATGATTATGTCTCAGTCTTTCAGTGAGCCCATGCACCTGGTCTGTGACCTACACAAAGTGCTTCTCAGTTTTGTTTTTTTACCCCTTAGGTGAGGCAAAGAGGGGTAGAGGAGACTGGAGTTGGATATTTCCCTTCTCCCCAAGTTGGTTAGTTTTTGGAAAAACCTAGTTGATTAGGCTCTGGTAAAATAGTTTCTCTTGAGAGCAAACCTTGTTAATAACAGAATAGTCTGGTGCATTTCAGTGTGGCTGCCCTTCCCTTCTTTTTGCAGAAACACAGATTTTTCTCTGATCTTCACTTGAGAACCTGGTAAGGTTCCCTGAGGTAAAAACCCACAAAAGTGTAGGGGATCCCTAAGACTAGGCCCCCCTGGAGTCTTAAAGTTGTTCACACTGAGCATCCAGCTATTCATAGGTTTTCCTGCACTGGTACTAGATCCTGTGAAAGTTTCTGCTTGTTGATTTCTGTGTCCACCTGTCTGTCTCTCTAGTTTTAGGGGGAACAGTTTTCTTTGTGACCTCACTTCTCTGATGGATCTAAGAAGAGATATTGTTTAAGTTTGATCGGCTTTTTTCTTGTTACGTGGATGGGAGTGATGACTTCTAAGCTCCTTATGTGCCAGATCAGAAACCAGAAGTCAAGTTGCCATATTTTAAAAGATTTACTTACTGCCAGTATTCACAGGGTATATAATAAAGTGAATTCTCTTCAATATATGATAAATGTATAGTCACCAATAGCTAAAATAGGAAGACACAGATTAGGTATTTAAATGGCAGGAGCATAAGGCTCTGGAGTTATGAGACATCAGAAATACATTTTCTGCTACACAGAGGATTTGCAACTTGAGTTTCTCTCGTACTGAAACAGGAAAAGTTCCCTTGTGCCCCTAGACGGCATGCGACGGCGGTGTGGCTCACTTCTTCAGTGCCCTGCTGCTCAAACCTCTAGGGGAGCATGCAGACAGGGAGCTGTGGGGCTCTGACCCCACGGCAATGTCTAGGGATGAATCTTTATAGCTGAAGCGCCAGAGGGCGTGTGTTACAGGGTGCTTTTTTAGTTTGCCTTGTGTTAACCAACTCAGTTAGACCTTCTATGTTGTCATAAGGACAGAAGGCTTTCTGTATCCTGGGTTCTTGCTTTGGTGTACTGGAAGAATCGGATCACACGTGGGCTTGGAGAATGAGTGCAAAGTTTTATTGAGTGGAAGTGGCTCTCTGTCGATGAGGGATCCAGAAAGGAGATGGTTTTCCCCTGGAGTTGGGCTGCTCAGTGGCCCCAGCTGTCTTCTAACTGCCCCGGCCAAACTCCGCCTCGTCCAGCCAGTTGATGGCCTGCTGGCATGCTGGCGTCTGTTGGTGTGCTCTTCTGCAGGTGTGCTCCCTTGACGTCTTTTCACCTTCTAGCCGCTTATGTCTTCTTCCGCTGATGTGCTCCTCTCGACCTTTGGCTGCTGTGTGTCTGCCTGCTAGGGTCTTGGGTTTTTATAGGCTCAGGATGGAGGCATGGCGGGCCAGGGTGGTCTTGGAAAATGCAACATTTGGGCCTGAAAACAGGAGTGCCTGTCCTCACCTATGTCTGTCCGTGGGGGTGGAGCCCTAGCCAGGGACCTGCCTTTCTCTACCC